CGACGAAAGGAAAAGAAAAGCCCAGTGGGCGTCGAATGCGTGCTCCGTCAACTGGACGGAACGAACATGGCAATCACCCTTAGGATCGGCGGGACTTCCATCCTCGATAGGCGCGTGCATCGTAGCAATCTATGACGGGAAAGAATAATGGTAAACATAGCATCCTTAGAGTCGGGAGTACTGCGTACGCAGCCGTACCACTAACAAACTATCATTATTATTATCATTATCATTATCATTATTATTATTATTATCATTATTACTATTATTATTATTATTATTATTATTATTATTATCATTATTGACATTGTTATTGATATAGTCATTTTTATTATTATTATCATTATTATTATTACATTTTATCATTATTATTATTATTATTACTATTATTTTTGTTATCATTATTATTATAATTATCAATATTATTATCATTATTCTTAATACTATTATTATTATCATTGTTAATATTATTATTTTTTTATTAATGTTGTTATCATAATTATTTATCATTACTTGTTTTATTGTGTTATTACTTTTATCATTATTATTATTATCATTATTGTTATTATCATTATCATTATCATTATCATTATCATTATCATTATCATTATCATTATTATTATCATCATCATTATTATTATCAGTATTATGGTGATGATGATGATGATGATGATAATAATAATGTCGATGATTTTAATATTACAATTACCATTATTACCAACATTATCATTAACACTGTCATTGCTATTAGTAGTAGTAGCATTATTACTATTTCTATTATCATTACTATATTTATTGTTATTATTTTTACTTTTATGATGATGATGATGATGATGATGATGATGATGATAATGATGATTTTAACATTAAAATTTTTAATATTATTACAAACATTATCATTTACATTATCATTGCTATTATCATTACAAGTGTTATTGTGGAGGTTCTTCAAACCTCGCCTCCGAGAGACGTAGCAGAATCCAGAAGGGGTGTCCAGATGATCTCCATTTCCCCTGCGTGGGACACTATTTTTTTATTGTTTTTACCCCTGCTCGTTTTTAGTTAAGTTATCCCTATTTTTAGCTCCGTTTTCTAAGTTGTGTTCATCACGTTTTCTTAGTTTGTTTCGTTCTTTTAAGTAATGACTGATGTCTTTTATTGTTTAAGTTTTAAAGTTTACTGCCTTAATATTTTATTTATTGCTTTTAATCAATTTGACCGTCATTTTAATTGTTCATTTTCGGATTAAGATTTATTTTTCCGTATTCTTATTTTATCGATTTGTTCCTTTTATAGATGAGCATGACGGGGTTTGTCCTTTTTATTTTGTAAACTTGTCTTTTTATTATATGTATTTGTATTTTGGTTTTATGATTTTACTCTGTAATTGATTTTATTCTTGTTTTACGTTTTTCAAATCGTCCTTTTAGCTTTTTAGGGATGTCAATGACGTTTGTACTTTTTAAGATGCTTTATTTTTCAATGGTTTTAATTATTTGTCTTAATCTTTTTATCTTTTTATCATCCCTGGTTGTTTTTTATATATACCTTAAATTTTTCACATTTTAATTATGTTTTATTTAGTTATTGAAAATGAAGGCAGTGACGTCAGCAAGACGTCCGCATAAATACGGATCCGCCATAACAATAAAGAGAGATCTATCTGAACCTGTGTTTTGTCACCCCTTTCTGGATTTACTTCAGCCTGAGACGTTAGCAGAACAAAGGTTGTACTGAGCATACTTCCCGTTACTTGCCTAGGGTATTTGCTGGACGTTGTCTTATTTATTTATGTGTTTTTATGTGTTTATTGTTTTCAAGTGTTTTTTTACGTATTTTTACACGAATCCCTTCTGGATTCGTCTTTTCTCGTTTTGCTTTTAACGTCAGTTCCTTTTTAAGTATTGTATTTGATATTTTAGTCCTATTTTAGTAAGTTAACGTAAGTTTTCTTTTCTTATCTTGGTGTTTTTAAGTAAAGTAACGTAATTTAGTGTGTGAGTTCTTGTTTTACCTTTTTAAGCCTTAAGCAGTTTTAGTGTTTCAATATTTTATTTCTTTTGCATATTTTAAATAATAGGCTGAGTCACAAGGACTTTTAGTAATATTTCTCCGCTCTGGGTACACGTTACACCTGCGTATGATCCTGGGTCAGTGCCCGCTACCATTTCACAGGCCCAGGATCTGTTTTAACTTGTTCAGGGGAGTGAACGGGACCCCCATTTGCGTCCCTAAGCCGTTCCTGCTTCACGGGAGGCTTCAGCTCGCTTCACGAGGCTGGGGTTTAAGTCGGGCTCCTCATCATAGATACCTTGGATACTTACATATTTGGTGGCTAGCGGTGAAATGTACCTTTTATGAGCTATACCAGGAGAATATTACGGAGTTCCTTGTAGGCTGAGAACGTCCGGCACAATCAGTTCTTTCCTGTTAGGATATTTTATGCATGTTCATTGTACCTCCTACGGGAGTTTTGGGAGAGCCACTTCGCCATGTATTATGTGTCTTTTGTTTTCTCTTTCAGTGTATTTTAAATGTGTAGTTTTCAAGAGCGGTTTTTTTTTTCTTGCAGCATAATTCTCTTCTCTTGCAGAGTTAGATTTATGTGTCTTAATGCCCGCTCGCCCAGCTAGGCTTACTTTGTGGCTCTCGTCAGTTTTAGGGACACTGTATGTTTCTCTTTTTACGTGTATAATTATCCTTTGGCAGCTCCATGGATCATACAGTGACTTGTGTGTTACGGTGTGTTACAGTGATTTTTGTGTAATATAGTGACTGAAACAGTGCAGTGATTTTGATGAAGGGTGCAGTAACGTGTTAAAGTGTGTAGTGACATTGGAAAAGTGCAGTAACGGGTTTGTGAACAGTACAAGGCTATGAACAGTGAGACGAGGTTGAGCAGTGCAGTGGACTTTGAATCGGTGCAATACAGCCAGATATTGCTGAACGCCTAAGAACAGTACCGAGCAGTGAACGAACAGTGCTGAAGTTTTACAGACGGTGTTAAGCGTATGTGAACAGTGACAAGATTGTGAACAGTTAAGTCTATGAACGGTGTCTGGTGATATTCGAACAGTGCTTGCTGTGTCTGTGGATGATATAGTTCTCGGAGTGCCTCTCGACTGTATTTGTGGTGCATTGTGTGCAGGATGCCCAAAGGCAAGAACACGGGAATTCGTAGGAATTTACGATCTTCCAGCCACCCTAGTTCCCGTGACCGTTCTCCGGCAGCAGGCTTATCCATCTCTGTCGATCAGCTCCCCATAGTCGTAGGTGGCTCGAATCCAGAGGTACGAGAAGCAGTGAGAGGGGAGAGATTAGTGTGCTGGCCCAAATCCTTGACAAAATCGAAGCCTTGTCAAGTGAACTCAGTGAAGTCAAGGCTCAGACACAGCAGTTCAACGAAAGGCTCGCCCGGCAGGAAGAAGCTGTGTCCAGACCCCGACAGGTAGAAGCAGAGGTCGAAGTTCTTCAACCTCAGGAACCTTCTGCTAGTACTCGGAGGGATGAGGAGATAGAGGAACTACGGCGGCAGTTACATGAAAAGGAAGAAGAACTTCAAAGGGAGAAACAGCGTAATAGGGAGAGACGTAACTTGCAGCCTCCAGAAACGCAGCTCCGCTTCTCAGAGAACCCCGAAGACTACGTCCAGAGGCCGACTTCTGCTCGGCTTCCTCCAGAGCCACGACCACGCAGCTCCCCAGAGTATGCTGATCCTCGACTGCCGCAGGGAACACCGCAACTAACAGCTGCAGCACAACGTGGGTCCTTGGATGACAGCTCTACATCTCGAGCCCAGGATGTGGAGGCCTGGATTCGCTCCATAGAGAACCTCGTGAAACCACCTACTGACGAGGCTTACATCCAGGCTGCACGAGCGAACTGTAGAGGCCCTGCAGAGCTTATAATAAACTCTCCCCTGTTTGACTTCATCCGTGACTGGGAGACATTTAAGGCCTCTCTACGCACCAAGTTTAGGGGAACTTACACGTCTGCTGATTTTTATAAGGTGCTTTATGAAAACAGGATGTCTTCAGTGCAGGCTCCCATGGATTTTTATCTCCAGTTAGAAGGTCACGTCTACCAGGGGTATCGCGACCATCGAGAAGCAATAGGTGATCCCTCCGAGCTTGTTCGTCGGGTTTTCCTCTCCGGCATTCCATCCTGGCTTAGGGATTTCTTGGCAGTTAAAGATGACTGCTCCCCCATGCAGCTTGCGGAAACAGCCCAGAGGATATGGAACTCCAGGAACGGGATCAGGCATGAATCAGCTACTCGACATCAGTCTCCAAATGAGTTTCGCCTGGATGACGACCGTGACCACCGCCACTATCCTGATCGCCCACCCAGAGCTCGGGACTTGTATGCTTGCCCTATAGCTGCACAGGTGGACAGAGTGAAGACCCCACAGCTTATTCCACCTCGTGATCCCTGGTGTAGCTTCCATGGAACAGCCACTCACAACACCTCTGAGTGCCGAGCAGCTTCTTATGTGACTTCTGCGCGAAACCGACCCCATCCTTCCAGAGACATCACCTGCTACCGTTGCCGAAGATCTGGGCACATGGCTAGACAATGTCCCTTTCCGAGTGGCCAGCAAGGAGAAGCTCCCAGTCCAGCTGGCGGAGTTCCAGAAGGGGGCAGTAACTTCCACCAGTACGCAGACAGAAACCACAATGTCTCAGATAGCCATGTTGAGTTCCCTCGGGTTGTCAGGACGGCCTCTCGTGGGACTCAATATTAATGGTAAGACAACCCTGTGCTTCATTGACACTGGATCTGAAGCACCTTGATCAAGCCAAGTGCTGTAGCCATGATCGTGTCCCACCAAAAGCTTCAGCACAGGACGTCTACCAAGATTCTCCGAGGAGTCACAGGGCAACCACTCCAAGTATCAACTGAGGTGACACTCCACTTTCAAATGGCTGAGGATTCTGTCATTGTTCATCAGGCCAGTGTGGTTGACGTCTCCTTCCCAGGTGACATACTTATTGGGATGGATCTCCTCAGACGGCTGGACTTCACTTTCTCCTCCGAAGCGTCAACTGGGAATGCCACCATTACTCTGCAGGGACACAAGTTCTCAGTAGTATATACTGATGCAGAGTCTCTCAAGATCTGTTGCATCAAACCCCTGTCACCTACAGAAGATGCCAGTGAAGATGCACCAGTTTCTGCCCAAGATCCTCAGACCGTTGCAGCAGTGCATCTTGTTCACCGTGCAAGTATTGCAGCTCACAGTGGCTGCTTTGTTGAAGGCTGTGTTTCGCGGAACGGACCAACAGATGGCGATATCCTTGTAGTTCCAGCTATGCCGAAAGGACTTCTTTTACCTCATGCTGTCACAAAGGTGAAGGATCGTCGGTGCTCTGTGTGGGTGGTGAATGCGACTCCAAAACCGATGGTTTTACATAATGGAACACGCCTTGGGAAGGCAGAGCAGGTAGAAGCCATTTACACCAATGACCCATCTCAACAACTGCCCAAGATGCCTGAGGAAGTCGTCGCCAGGTCCAACTACTGTCCTGTCGAGCCTGATTCCCTTGAGGATGGAGAAACCTTTGACTTTGAGTGGGAAGAAGATTGCTTTGACCGACAATATGGAGTCGAAGACTTCGGCTATGATGATGAGCTGGAGGTTGAACACATGGAGCTGCCACCCTCTATTGCCATTGCTGCCTGTGAAGCTGCCGAACTCCTGGAACACGGTCCAAACCTGGATGACCACCCGATGCCAGATCTCGGCCACCTTGAAGACCCCCAACGCCATCAGCTGACTGAGCTGCTTTGTCGTTTCAAGGGGCTCTTTGATGGTGGTGAAGAAGCTGTAGGTCTTGTACCTGGAATCAAGCATCAGATTGACACAGGAGATGCCAAGCCTGTTTGCATCCGACAGTGGCGATTACCCCATTCAACACGGCAAGTTATTCGTGAGCAGTGTGACTCTATGCTTCGCTCAGGGGTCATTGAGGAATCCACATCCCCCTGGATGAGCCCTGTTGTGCTGGTTAAGAAGAAGGGAGGAGCTCTCAGGTTCTGTGTTGATTACCGTGGCCTGAACGCAGTGACCAAGGGTGATACGTATCCTCTGCCTCTTATCAGCGAACTCATCGATGAACTGGGCCCAAAGAACATCTTTACCACCTTAGATGCCCGCGCTGCATACTGGAGTGTGGAATTGGAAGAAGAGGATCGACCAAAGACGGCGTTTTCAGATGGCTACCGACTCTTCCAGTTCTGCCGTCTTCCTTTTGGCTTATCAACAGCTCCAACCACGTTCCAGAGGACTATGAATGTCGTCTTATCGTCGGTACTGGGACGTCATACATTAGCCTACTTAGATGACGTATCATTTACAGCCACAACTTCGACCAACACCTCCAAGATCTAGACGAGACCTTGCAGTTGCTGTCATTGGCCGGCCTGAAACTTAACATGGACAAGTGCCAGTTTGCAGCCACAACCATAGATTTCCTCGGCTTCACGATTTCCCCTGATGGAGTCTCCCCTAACAAGGATAAGGTTTTGGCTATCTCTAACACCCCACCACCACGTACAGTTAGAGAAGTTCGTCGTTTCCTAGGAGCAACAGGATTTTTCAGGAAACATGTTCCAGGATATGCAACCTTAGCATCACCATTGCATCTGTTGCTGAAAAAGGATCAAGCTTGGACCTGGGGACCCGAACAACAAGCCGCGTTTGAAAACTGAAAGAGAAGCTGACATCTGCTCCAGTCTTACGCCAGCCTGACTTCTCCAAGGGATTCGAACTTCACACTGATGCCTCTAGTATTGCACTGGGGGCCTGTCTCATGCAGAGAGATGATGACCAGACACCGCATGCAGTTGCCTATTTCAGCAGAAAGCTCCGTGATGCAGAAACTCGCTATCCAGCCATCGACTTAGAAGCTCTAGCTGTTGTGGAAGGAGTCCGGACCTTCGATTCCTATCTTTATGGAAGGCGCTTCACCGTGTACACCGACCACCGCCCCTTAGTGTATGTGTTCAGCAGGAAGACCAAGTCTCCTAGGATGACAAGATTCGCCCATGACTTGTCTTTCTATGATTTTAGCATCAGGTACAAAGAGGGCCCCACCAATAAAGTGCCAGACTTGCTCTCCAGACAAGTTGCAAAGCTGACAATAACAGAGCTCTCTCCTGAAAGCCTTGCAGAAGAGCAGAAAGCAGATCCTCAGCTTGCAGAGATTTGCAGTTATTTGGAAGGGGGAAACCTGCCAACTAAGAAGCTTCCTCTTCCTCTTGCTGACTTTGAATTGAAGGAAGGCGTCCTCTACCGGTTGAAGAATCTACCAGATCGGATTGTATACCAGTTAGTAGTTCCAGTGACTCTACGAAATTCGGCATTAAAAGCATCACATCTTCCTCCACTTGCTTCTCATCCAGGCATCCATCGAACATTTCAAAATGCAAGATCAATGTTCTACTGGCCAAACATGCTGAAAGATGTACGACAGTATGTAGAATGCTGCGAGATTTGCCAACAATCAAGAGGCGACAGGCAAAAGGTTCCTATGGCTGAGACACCCCTTTCTAACTTTCCATTGGAACGAGTCTCGATGGACATTATGGACTTTGGGCCCAGCATTCCCATCCGCTGGGCGTTATCCATCATAGACCAGCATTCACGGTATTTGCAGATCATACCTCTACGGAAAGTCACTGCTGTCGCTGTCCACCGAGCCTTTCTGGACCATTGGGTAACCCTCTTCGGCCCTCCTAGGGTTATCCAAACTGACAACGGAGTCCAATTCACAAGCAACCTGTTTAAGGAACTCGCTAAACTGATGCATGCTACCAACCACTACACCATTCGCTACCATCCTCAAGCAAATGGTTTGATTGAGCGTACCAATCGTGTGGTAAAGTCTGCCCTTACTTCTCTTGTCAATGATCGCCCACGAACCTGGCACCAGTTTGTTCCTGAGTTGCGGCTACAGATCAACTCGGCTATCCATCGGACCACAGGGGAGCAACCCCTTTACATGCTAACCGGCCGCCATGCTAACTTCCAGATTCACCAATGAAGCAGTTTTTGATGAAGAAAACGGCCGAGCGCGTTTACGAGAGGCCCGCCAAGCAGCTGTGAAAGCCTCTAAGGAAGCACGACAGATTTATGGCAAGCAATACAACAAAGGCAAGAAGGTGGAATTTCAGCCGACTGAAGGTGCGTTGGTATGGTACTTTGAACATCGACACAAGATGGGCGGTCTACCCCCTCTCACCAGAAAGTGGAGAGGTCCTGCCAGGATCATCAGATGTCTGGGTCCTTTGAAATTGAAGACCTCGAAACAGAAGTTCAGTTCAGAGCCCACCTGAATCACCTGAAGGCTTATCACCCACCAGCGGAACTGTCGTATGGCACGAGTGATGATGATGACGATGATGGAGACAACGATGATGACGGTACAGATGATCCGAATCCACCAAACCCAGATGACCCTTGGGTTGCTGTGCTGACCTCTCTGGTGATGGAGCCAGAGTTCGACGATAGCGGTTGTGGTTCATTGCGGGCTGCTGAGACACACGCCTCTAGAGAAAACCTGCACCCAGATTAGCAGATGGAGCACTGATATCCTTTTTGTACTATTTGTGTTTTTGTCCTTTTATGATCTGATGTGCAAGACACGTTCAGCTGTCTGCACGCTGTTAGTTTGTTGAGGCAAGTAACGGGGCTCAGGCCAACCTTTCTTCTGTTTCAGGTTGTCTCCGCCTTCTGCTTCGACCCATGGTTATGGGAGGATTGTGGAGGTTCTTCAAACCTCGCCTCTGAGAGACGTAGCAGAATCCAGAAGGGGTGTCCAGATGATCTCCATTTCCCCTGCGTGGGACACTATTTTTTTATTGTTTTTACCCCTGCTCGTTTTTAGTTAAGTTATCCCTATTTTTAGCTCCGTTTTCTAAGTTATGTTCATCACGTTTTCTTAGTTTGTTTCGTTCTTTTTAGTAATGACTGATGTCTTTTATTGTTTAAGTTTTAAAGTTTACTGCCTTAATATTTTATTTATTGCTTTTAATCAATTTGACCGTCATTTTAATTGTTCATTTTCGGATTAAGATTTATTTTTCCGTATTCTTATTTTATCGATTTGTTCCTTTTATAGATGAGCATGACGGGGTTTGTCCTTTTTATTTTGTAAACTTGTCTTTTTATTATATGTATTTGTATTTTGGTTTTATGATTTTACTCTGTAATTGATTTTATTCTTGTTTTACGTTTTTCAGATCGTCCTTTTAGCTTTTTAGGGATGTCAATGACGTTTGTACTTTTTAAGATGCTTTATTTTTCAATGGTTTTAATTATTTGTCTTAATCTTTTTATCTTTTTATCATCCCTGGTTGTTTTTATATATACCTTAAATTTTTCACATTTTAATTATGTTTTATTTAGAAGTTATTGAAAATGAAGGCAGTGACGTCAGCAAGACGTCCGCATAAATACGGATCCGCCATAACAATAAAGAGAGATCTATCTGAACCTGTGTTTGTGTCACCCCTTTCTGGATTTACTTCAGCCTGAGACGTTAGCAGAACAAAGGTTGTACTGAGCATACTTCCCGTACTTGCCTAGGGTATTTGCTGGACGTTGTCTTATTTATTTATGTGTTTTTATGTGTTTTATTGTTTTCAAGTTTTTTTTACGTATTTTTACACGAATCCCTTCTGGATTCGTCTTTTCTCGTTTTGCTTTTAACGTCAGTTCCTTTTTAAGTATTGTATTTGATATTTTAGTCCTATTTTAGTAAGTTAACGTAAGTTTTCTTTTCTTATCTTGGTGTTTTTAAGTAAAGTAACGTAATTTTAGTGTGTGAGTTCTTGTTTTACCTTTTTAAGCCTTAAGCAGTTTTAGTGTTTCAATATTTTATTTCTTTTGCATATTTTAAATAATAGGCTGAGTCACAAGGACTTTTAGTAATATTTCTCCGCTCTGGGTACACGTTACACCTGCGTATGATCCTGGGTCAGTGCCCGCTACCATTTCACAGGCCCAGGATCTGTTTTAACTTGTTCAGGGGAGTGAACGGGACCCCCATTTGCGTCCCTAAGCCGTTCCTGCTTCACGGGAGGCTTCAGCTCGCTTCACGAGGCTGGGGTTTAAGTCGGGCTCCTCATCATAGATACCTTGGATACCTACATTATTCTTATCTCAAGTATAATTATTATTGTTTTTATAATTATTACTATTAATCAGCACTGTGAATACCTTATCATGTTGATCAGAAATTGTACATCATACAACACTTTACATACGTACGGATAATTTACAAATAAATGAATCTGTTAAAAGGTACTGAGAAATTAATTTTGAAAATAATTCATTATGGTGATTAATAATCCTGTCTTCAGGTGAACTACAGGTCATCCGTATCTCAGGATGATATGCATTTTTCTGTACTCAATAAACAAAAACTCATTATCCCTAGAATTAGATATCCACATTATCAAAATATATTAGTACATAATAAGTGGTTATTCAACAATTAGTTTTTATTTCATATCAGTAACTCGACATTTCTTTGTGCATATGTGTATTTCATTTAGTTATCATTATTGTTTTCCTGCAAAGACTTTGATTTATACTTAGTTTATAAGGTACATAAAACAAAGTTTGTGGCAATTTTTCTTTTTTCTCTACTTTACTTCGGAAGTCCATTCTGGGAATATTCTTCTGGAGGCAAGAGATCACTCCGTCATTATAAAAAAAAAAAACATAAGAGGGAGTGTGATATAAAGTTGTGGTGAGGGAAACTGGCTGTTATGGTACAATGGGCGCCTGGCACTACAGATGAGTTTCATTTTTCATCCTGTTCCAAACTTGTGTCAAGTTGTAGAAGAAGAAGAAGGAAGGAAGCGAAAATGACAGATCTCTTTTGTTTCAAAGAAAAATGTGTCATCGACTTTTTCTTAACTTCGATCGTGTGATATTAGAAATTATAGATTTAATACAAGTACGCATTTCCCACCGCATGTCACTTCTATGCTGCCAATACCTCTCGAGTCTTCCCGCACTTTTGATATCATTGTATTTTGCAATCTAAATATTTCAATATTTAATTTCAATTACCGATATGATTGCTACGCTTACTAACATCTGTAATAATTTAATATTCTTATTAGCATCTGTAATTCTTATCCTAGAATTCATCACCTGAAAGGTTCCTTCAAGTTCATAGTAATATGCTGAAGTCCTTGTATTAAATGTTACATATACATAAATTCATTTCTTTAGATACCTTTAATACATGTGTACAGATGCTCAAACATCTGAATTACATAAAACCTAAATCTAATTTCTTCCATGCGCCTTTTACATCAAACATCCCCAAAACGTATTCCCCTCATATCTTCAAAATAATTGACTTCTGTACCATT